AACATAACTTGACTATACTTTGACGTTTCGTTTTTGAAAATGTACGTTTTTAATAAGTACGCTAACTAGATAAGATAGCTTGGTGTGTGAGTGTGTGCAGTGTACATTGTAGAACAAAACATCAAAGTATCATCAAGTTATGTTTACCACAGGCTTTATTTTACTCATAAATTGAAAAACCCCATTATAAAACTCCATAGGAAAATCAGCGAACCAGCGGGGGAATTCGACTTCCGGGTTCTGAAGTCATACCAGCACCACTCTTTTGAAAAAAGCATGTTATGCCACACACAGAATTATAAAACAAAACTGCATTTATCTTTATATAAAATGAAACAGCATGCCAACACATAGAGCATGCAGCACTAGACATGTATCAACAGAATCACACATATCAGGACACATTCAGTGACATCATAATAAAGCTGAACAAATCTGGCAAAACATGAGAGTGCTCTTGCAAGATCAATAAGTACATGTAGAATACATGTTTTAATGACTGCACAACAAGGTTAATGCTAAATATTAATATATTAAGAGGTTGATCACCAAGAACATTATGCAATTGTTTTAGGATGTTCCCCTGGGTAGTATGGCTTGAAAAAAAACTTTATAAAATACCGACTGATGGAACAAACTCTCAACATGGTTGCACTATTTGACACACTTACATAAAAAAAAGCTATTATTTAGTTTTTTGGTGTACAATTTTAGTAAAACACTACTTAGTGCATCTTTAAAAAAGCCTGATAGAGGTCAGCTGCTGTGACACAGTTTGGTCAATAACAGCAACATCCTTCCATTGTTTCTAAAAGCTGCTTCAGAAAATGGACTCTTCCTGTGAAAAAAAAGCTAATTTTAAGTAAAAACAGATTCTCAAGGCCAGTAACAGACACTAGCGGATTCATTATTTAGTGGTGCTTTCTTCAGCAAGCATCACTGCTATTACTGATCATCCTCAAACATCGGGTTATGTAAATTTCCCACACTGTGCGTGCTATAAATAGGGCTACACGATATTGAAGAAAAATGAAATATTCGATAACTCATTAAATAATGTGATATTCGATATGTGATGATAATACTTAAATGTGTGTCTTTAAACATGACCGTGCTTAAAGTGTGTCAAATAAATAAAAAGTGTATTTCAAATGTATTTAAAATTATATAACCAACATACATTTTTTTTTCGCATCCCTACATATTCTGAAAGTGAACCACAGTGTTTTACTGTAGCATAAGTAAGAGTAATTTTAACATCAGTGTAACCAGGGGGTTTAGGGTTTCAGGCAGGCCTACATTAGGTTTATTTAACAGCAGAAACTGAATAATCAAATGTAAAAAATAAATAAATAAATAAACGCTGCGTGCTTAGTCTTCACTGTATTAAACATACACTGATTCTTATTAAAGCAACAGAAATTATTCAGTCAAGAGCAGTGAGTGTCTCATGTCTTTTGTTCATGACCCCAGTTATTGCAAGCCGTATGTTAAATAGCTCAAACATGAATAATACCTCAAATTGTGCAGCTTGTTTAGGAGAAGTGTGCTATTACTTTTAAGAGGTCACTTTTGAAGGAGGGACCCCAGTCACAGACACCAAAATGTCATAGATACTTGAGGTTGGGCACTTTTGACTTGTAGCACTATAGGCAACAGCTTAGCAAGCATAGTATGTGTCAGTATTCATTATGACAAATCTATATGTGAAGTTGTAATCAAGCTCACCTCTGCATATAATGAACAGAATGTTCAGTTCATTATATCTAGCACTTTATGTGTTTATTCTGGGGTATTCTTGGCCTTGACAAGCAGAAGGTTGATCTTACATGAGTCTATTTACAACTTGATCCTGTCAAATTCAGTGTAGCTCCCCCATAACAGTACATGACAGTATGTTTCTTCCACTTCATAGATCATTTGAAGTGTCAAGTAGTGCAAGAGAGAAAGTTTGATAGTCGCTAGGGGTGTAACACCACACAGGAGTCACAATTCGGTACGTACCTTGTTTTTGGGGTCACGGTTCGATATGAGTTCGGTACAATACAAAAATTGGTCACACTTAAATTTAGTGTCCAACTCTCACTATTAACTAACTACTAACTATGACTTTTGTCTCAATAAACCCATAATTACAGCTTATTAGTAAGTAAGGTTGTTAAGTATAGGATTAAGGGATGTAGAATAAAGTCATGCAGAATAAGGTATTAATACGGTATGCTTTATAAGTAACAGCCAATATCCTAGTAATATGCTAATAAGCAACTAGTTAATAGTGAGTGCGAGCCTTTCAAAGTATACTCCTTTGTCCGTGAGTGCAGAAAGATGCATTCGACACATGCACACTATCTAGGGGACTTGTTTTCAAGCGCTCAAGTCATTCGCACATGCGCTGTTCTTCTTCTGCTCTTTTTCCTGTTGTGGCAGTTAGCAAATAGCGTTGCATTACCGAGTGCGCCACCTTTTGGATAGGAGTGTGGATTCTCCAGTGATGTGTGACTGACTGTATTCTTCGTCTGACTGCATGCACCGAACCATGGTGTTCTTACCGTGACTGTTCGGGACGAACGCATGTACCGTTACACCCCTAATAGTCACACATGAGCTTGTTGAATCAACAAAGCCATTTTGCTAACTTCATGCCAGACGTAACTACTAAATTGATGTCCCTATCCCTTCAACACACACACACACACACACACACACACACACACACACACACACACACACACACACACACACACACACACACACACACATACTTCATGTCTGCCAACCCGATGTCACTAAAGCCTAGATCACTAAATTCAATAATAATAACTATGCAAACTGTAAAAAATTGGCTGATTTGAAAGGCTCATACTCCCACAAGTTTCCTATACATCCAATTGTATTTTCTTCATACTGGCTACAAAATGGTTCCTTTATGAAATCACTTTCATGTTACCTTTCTTTTTTAAGAATTATCGCAGTCATTATTGTTGTGCTTAACATTCAGATAACTTCATGTGGAGACTAAATAATACCCTTCACTGACTTTCATTGAACTCCATTGTATAATTTACCTTCACTGTCTTCTCTGCATCTCTCCTCTTTCCTAGCTTACCTCCTCGTCTAGCTGTCTAATAAACCTGGCATTTTATATTACGAATATTGTTGGCTATTTGACTAATTGTTTTTGTTCCTCTTTTGTAAGTCGCTTTAGATACAAGTATCTGCTAAATACAAACATATAAATGAACTGTCACAGAACAGATAAAAACAAACAAAAAACTAAGTCAAAGACCGATTTAAAATGTTCTGATGCCTGTAAACATACAGATATAAAGGCAGTGACTTTGTGATGTGCTAATTGGTGTAACGTTTTCAGACAGAGCTCTGTCTCCCAGGCTGGTACAATGTTCGGTATTATCCACACATACCGACAAATAATGTGATTTAGAGGAAGAGAAAGTCTCTAGAACATGCTGCTGTGAACACTGCAGGCTCTATTCGCCTGTAAACAACTTATACATATTCGGATGAACAAAGAACTATTGTCAGGGAAGTGAGTCAAATCATGTCCCACTATTTAACTATATTAGATTAAGGATGAGATTGTATTAGACCACATTTTATAGTGAATCAATGCAAAGGAGCAAAAGCCAGTCTTACTTAGTATGGGGCACACAACAATCAGTTTTTACTATTATGATATGAAAGCACAGTATATGTCAGCATTGTTCTGAATGTAACTCTTTACATGTATTCCACTTAATATGTAGAAGGAGAAGGGCAAGTGGAGGGGCGACCCAGACAGAGGAATGGCCCATAAATAGAATCATGAGATCTGAAGCATGTGATTCTTTAGTGTTTTGGAGGCAAGTTTAATTTTCAAGCTACAGAACTTTTTTGGGACAACAACAATAATAATAATAATACGTTTATTTTATATAGCGCCTTTCTCAAACCCAAGGTCGCTTTACATAGTGGAAAGGCACAACCAAAACAATACAACAAAGACAAGTAATCTGTGTGAAGCTATGAGTTTGGTGTGGAAAAATGTTCCTTAAACAAAAAGGTCTTGAGATGAGCTTTAAAGAGGGAAAGTGAAGGACAGTCACGAAGAGATTGAGGGAGGCTGTTCCAGAGTTTGGGGGCCAAGACACTGAAGGATCTGCCACCCAGGGCAACAACTATTATTGTTAATAGTAGTTTTGTCTGCAGAGAACATTATGCAATGCCATATTTTTTTTAAATTTGAACTGTTTTCTCCCTTTGTTCATATAGCATTAATAATTTTTTTTATTAATAATATTTATTTATTCATTGCATTCCAAGTAATGCACAAAGAGACTTTGAGTATGCATGGTACAAAACACATATCATCTTTTTTTCTTTTTTGTATTATCATACATCTTTTTTTGCAATACTGTTAATTTAGGGCATGTTTGAATGCAAATTAAAACCCTGATTTCTGTGACATTATTTTTCTTACTCTAAATAAATCAGGTTAAATGTTTTAATAAAAGAAAAAAGGCTTCAGATAAGGGTTTGAGATGAGATTTAACCCTTCACTATAGTTTAATCACTCAATAGCTTGTTTGGCACAAATGTTTTCTGTAGTTATATTGATAAACCTATAATCTTCCCATGAATTTAATAATTAATAAACAGGGTTAAATGGTTGAGCTGAACACACAAACTAAATTAATTTTAGCTTATATATGCCTAAGATATCTAACAGTTCTCCTATTAGATAATAATAAACGTGCCAAAAAAAATAATAATAATAGTCAAAAAGGCATAAAGTCCCGTAGCCTATATCTCTCATATTGCGATACAACGTATTAAATATCAAATTATAGCAGTGACAGCCAAGCTTTATCATTGTTAAATCGATTATGTTAAACCAAAACCTTTAACTATCATCAAAGTAAGAACAATCTGGTTATAGAAGAAACAGCGCTCTCCATATTGATAGTCTGCAGACTTTTCGGAAGTCAAGAAAATGTTCTTACCCTTTGGGTGAAGTTTGCTATTTAGTTGTTTTTTTTTGCGCTATAACAATCCGGATATGTGCTGATTTATTTTCATCCGTCAGACGAGCAGTAGTTAGCGTTCATTCCGAGTTGGTGAATTATTAACGGTGTGTGGCGGGATCCAGTTGAAATAAAGTGTTTAACTGTATCGCTCGCGCTCATGGGCGGCGCTCGTGTCTTCTGCTGGCATCGCTTTGAATGGGTGGTCCTGATTTCTTCCCACCCATGTAACTACGTCGTAATCTTCATGTTCAAGAGCTCTACATTTAGACCGATCTGAGTCAGGCACACATATTGAATATCCCAGACTGGAATTCCCCAAGAAACCCAATTATTGAATGCAAGGGGCCCAAATTCTCACATATTAAGACAGACATGCAGGCAGATGTGCTCTTATGTGTTAAGTAGCTATGGTTAGTAAATGTGCATAAAAATAGCTTTTTAAAAGTTGATATATAGGCTAGGCTAGGTCTGAACACAATAAAAGCCTGTAAAATGATTGGATACATTAGGCCTATATACATATTATGCAGGGTTTGGCCATAATATTTATATATGGCATTGTTCCATGTAGCCTATGACAATAGCAACAGATCTAATATGGACTGTATGTGAACTGTATAGACAGATTTCAGTTTTTTTATATATACAATTAATTTATAAAAATATTTCTATTGAAAATATAGGCTACTACCGAATATTGTGTTAATCCATTACAATATATTGAATGATAGGCTACATACGAAAATGCTGCTTTTATTTACTCAAAACTATGTGACAATATATTTAGGCTACTTATTGTAATGAACACAATTTTATATTCAATATTACACTTCATAATATATGTAGCCTACTTGTAATAAAATATGGTACTATTGAACATATACTGTAGGCCTATATGTACCTACTCAATATAGGCTTTCACCTCCTCCCCACGCCAGCTCCCAAGTAGAAGGAGTTGGGTGAAATGTTCTGGATGATATCAATCCACAATCTGACTTGTGTGATGCAGCCTAGAATCATAATTCCATTATGTTCGTTTGTTTAGCCGGAGGACTGGTCCCCCATGGTGTATGGTTTGCAAGTTTTTTTTCTCTCCATTTCTGTCACCTGTTGAAGTCTGAGTTCCTTTCAACTGTCGCCTCTGGCTTGCTTATATGAGAACAATATTATTGCTTTGACTGCACTGACACTATTGGACGAGAGCTGAATTGAGCTGCATGATGTCATCACTGTTTTCTCCAGAGCTGCTTTATCGCTAAATTGAACTCATTTCATACACAGTTATTGAACTGAACTGAATCAACACTGAACTGACTTCAGCTGAACAATGACACTTTTGTCTTTTTAGCGCTGCTTTACAGCAGAATCGAATTCTGTCTACATCATTGATTATTATTTTCCTATTTATCACTGTAAAGCGTTGAAACAATCTGTATTGTATAAAGCACAATATAAAGGTAAATAATATGGCAACATGTGCAATATGTACATAATTATGAGGAAACTATATATTTTGATATATATTTGTAAAATCTAATTTTTCACATGTTCCCATGACTTTAAGACAAAAAGTTTTAATTTTTCCCTAATACCATCACACATAGCCTATTTTCATTTATGAAATGTAAAATATGGAAACAAAAACAAACACTAGTTTCCCATGGAAATGTATTATATTATATTTTCAGTATATTCCCATTTATGCTATACTTTTTGTTTTGTAAGGGATTAGCATAGGCCCTATTGGTCTCTCCTAATCTGTTATTCACCTATATCTGGTTCAGTTACATCTATCTAGTGATTTAAATACAGCTAAAAAACTATCCTTATTGAGTCATTAAGTAGGCTACTCTAAACGTTTTTAAATGGTTAAAATGGTGATTAAATTGGTGTTTCCTTTCCACCTAAATTCATTAAAGGAATAGTTCACTTTAAAATGAAAACTCGGTCATAATTTACTCAGACCTGTATTAATTTCTTTCTTCTATTGAACACAAAAGAAGATATTTTGAAAAATGTTGGTAACCAGATTGGGTTGCTACACCATTGGCCTCCATTGTATTTTTTTTTTTTTCTTCTATGGAAGTCAGTGGAGTCCATCAACTGTCTGGTTACCAACATTCTTAAAAATATCTTCCTTTGTGTTCGGCAGAAGAAATAAACAACTTGAGGGTGAGTAAAAGGACAGAATTTTCATTTTTAAGTGATTCTTTTAAGCAGTCAATGGCGTTAGTTTGCGTTTGATTCGACAGGTGGCGCGAATTTCTGCAGCTCTTACGGATGTGACGACGGTCACTGAACCAGAGAATAAGAAAAAGACTTCCGGCCCGCTGGTCCTTTCCTTCTTTTACTGTCTATGATCCTTTCCTGGTCCTTTCGATGCTGCTGCATCTGACCCAGGATCAGCTTCACTCCCTTACATTCTCTTCATGGTTGTGGGGTATCGTTCAACTAAAACTGATTCAGCAACAGACTCGCATTGAACAGTCGATTTCACCTTGACACCAAGTATGGCGTCGGCTACGAAAATTATCCAGAGACTGAGGAATTATTTGTCAGGGGTGAGATGATGATGATGATGATGATGATGATGATGATTTTAATCGTTTATCAGTCATGCACTGTTCGACGTACATTATGACAACGGGTAGAAAAAAACGTCCGTGTATGCATGTGTGTATTTGCTTGCTTGTCTCTTGAGTTGGTAACCAGAGGCTACAGAAACTTCACATCATAATTCTTGACTTAAGGTTTAAAAAGATTTATTTCCTCAGGGAAATTATCATCACCGTTACAGATAAGATTCTGAGTTAGGATGTTTCTGTAATACAGCCACAGCCATTTCCATGTCTATATAATACTTTGTTCAGTACATTGACTTTTCTCGTTCCTTAACAGCAAGATCTCCAATCAAAACTACAACTTCGGTACAACGAAATTGCAAAGAGGTAGATATATTTGCATATTTCACATAATACTTTAAGGTCTTGAAATGGATTATCACTTTATCAGTAACACTTTACAATAAGGTCTCATTCATTAACATTAGTTAATGTATTAAAGGGGTCATATAATGCCATTTTTGTACAAGCTTATATGATTCTTTAGGGTCTAAATTAAAAGTTTGTAATATACTTTAATTTAAAAAAAAATTCATTAGTATTGTAAGAAAACACTTATTTTACCTGGTCAAAAACAGCTCTGTTTTCAGCACGCCGTTTCAGTGCATATGACTTTAAATGATCATGAGCTTTGCTCACCCCGCCTCTCTGTTCTGTGTGTACACCGTTTGTAACACAATAACGTGTTGTTCAGTATAAACGTGGGATTATGAATTGTATTGAGAACGTCGTACATAGAAAACATGCCGTAATGTACCGTGAGTGTAAACCTTAGACGCATTCATTGTGAAGCGTGCAGCTAGCGATTTGCAAAGATTAATATAAATTTTAGTATAAAGTTTAATAAAATGTTACACTCACTTCAGTTCTTCTGGAGGTTCAGCAGGAACACGAATAGCTGGTACCGATCCTTTTTTCATTAGCAGCTTCTTAGCAAAACCAGCTCATACTGACCCTCGTTTATAAGCAGTCTGGTGTGTGAAATGATTTGCGCAAACATGAGAGCATTGACGTTGCTCATGGGGAATATTCCCTTCGAAAACAAATTCAGCCACTGCGTCTTCAGCGGTTCGGATTTGGGAACATTAAAATGACTGCTGTGTTCGTTATTACACCCAAGAACAGAACACCACAGTCACTTAGACGCCATTCTGCTTATAGACAGTGCTCCAGCATATCAACAATGACCGCGCCGGTCAATCAACAATCGTGGGAGGGGCGTGCGAGCTTGTGACGTCACACGGTCGAACGGCTCGATTTGAGGCAGGGGAAAACATATAAGGAGATTAAAACAAAAACACTGGATAGATTTTTATCATTGTATGATGGTTGTGTACAGGCACTGCCAACACACATTGTAACTTGTAAAAGTGCATATACCATTATATGACCCCTTTAACTAACATAAACTAACAATGAGCAATACATTTGCAGTAGCCCTATTTATTAATTTTTGTTAATGAAAAATACAGTCGTTCATTGTTTGTTCACGCTAGTTCACAGTGCATTAACTAATGTCAACAACTACAACTTTTGATTTTAATAATGTATTAGTAAATGCTGAAATTAAGGAAGATTAATAAATGCTGTAGAAGTATTGCTCATTCTAAGTTCATGTTAACTAAAGTAGTTTACTGATGTTAACTAATGAAACCTTATTGTAAAGTGTTACCGGATTATCTAACTGAAACCAACGTAATGTATTTTATTATATTAATATTTTATTGATTTTTATGAATGGGTAGTTGACAGATTTATGTAAAAAAAAAAAATCATTTTGTCTTCATTTCAATGGTTCTGCAGTGAAAACAAATACATTTAGTTTCTTTGCGGTCTAGAAATATAGACTGTCCTTTTTCTTTGAAGACAGTAAAGTTGTTGTCATGTGAACTACCCAATATATTTATGTATTTATGTTTACTTTAATAACCTTATTTTCAAAATAAGTTCTGATGACAGTGAGTGCAATCATTAATCCATAGTGAATATTTATTAATTTCATTTATGGTAGGTCTCAGCCACCTCCCAAACTGCCTGTTGGACCCAGCCATAAATTTGCAAATAACTACTACTGTCAGAGAGATGGACGCAGAGAGTCTATTCCACCGTCTGTGATCATGTCTTCCCAGAAGGCCCTAACAGCTGGAAGGTGGGTTGGCATGGCTTAATTTACATTATTAAAAAATATTTTGTACAGTGTATATTTTATGTTTTCTAGTAGACTTTTCTTTACACAAGCCACCTCAATAGAAAGTACATAATAGGCAGCTAAACAACAATCGTTAGATAGGCTGTGAATACCTATTTTGGAGAAGCTCTTATGTAAATACAGTGTTATGAACCATTTGTGTATCTAGATTTGGTAAGATTGCATCTACTCCGTTAATTGATATTTAATTTGTTCTGAATTAAGTACCTCAGTCTAAAAAAAAAAGTAATTATGTTCCTTGACAATGGAATTCATTATTTGGTTTGTTTTATGAAGATTTTGCTGGCTTGTTATTAACAGTTGGGTGTAATGCATTATTAACAGTTGGGTGTAATGCATTACTACTAATTAATTAATTACTTTTCCCTTGAAAAAGTAAAGTGATGGATTACTCTTATTTTTTCTGCAATTTACTGATGTGATTGCATTTAATACTTTAATGCAAAAATCTAACATCTAATGTTAAAATGCATGTTTTTAATGTGACCTTCACCCTTTCAATGCTTTGGTCAGTTCAATAATAATGTATGCATTTTTTTATATTATTTATTTGAAAGAATTAAAAGAGCAGTATCCTGTATTGTCCATCCTTGTATTGTTAAACTGGTCAAGGTTGATATGGGATTTAGAAAGTAATACGTAATGAAATGCTTTTTACAGAGAGTGGAGATGTAATTAGTAGCTAGTAATTAATCACTTTTTAAGAGTAACTTTACCAACACTGGTTATTAATAACCCAATACATAGAATAATCCCAAAGTTATTAGCAAGTTAGTTTTTTTCCCAGGCATGTATTTTATTCTTTCCATATGCATAAAAAGGAAAAGTGATTGTTGTGGAACAGAATTTCTTGACATTTTCTGTGCTAACATGATAATGCTATATACGGTTCTCCTCATAAGTTTACATACCCCTTGCAGAATATGCAATAAAAGCTGGGGGTGTAAACTTTTTGAATTGGATGATAGGGGTAAATTGTACTTATTTTGTTTTTGGGGAAACAGCTTTTGAAGGGCATTGCAAATTTTTTTTTTTTTTTTTTAAAAGGATCTTTAAACAATATACGAAAAAATGTACACATGGCCAAATCCATGGCGGCTCCAACTTGCAACTTCCAGGAATGCTAACATCTTGGTGCCAGATACCATAGGACACCTTCAGGGGTCTTGTAGAGCAGGGGTTCTCAAACTTGTTCTGCTGGAGAACCCCCATCCCAGCGCATTTTTTTATGTCTCCCTTATCTGACACCCAGTTCAGGTCTTGCAGTCTCTACTAATGAGTTGTATCAGGTGTGTTAGATGAGGGAGACATTTAAAAAATGTCAGTGCTGGGGTTCCTCGAGGACATGTTTGACAACCCCTGTGTTAGAGTCCATGCCTAGGTGGGTCAGCGCTGTTTTGGCAACACACGGAGGACCAACAGCATATTAGGCAGGTGGTCATAATGTGTATGACCATCGGTGTATGTAAACATCTGTTATGAAAAACAGCTTATTCAAGACTAGTAAAAAAATAACAGGCAATTTTTATGATCCCTCTAATTTTCTTTTAATATTATTAGCATCTTGCATATTCTTCAGGTGGTATGTAAAGTTATGAGCAGAACTGCATACATCTATAGCACTTTGTCATGGTTTATTTTGGTGCCTTAGTCAATACGTGCATGTATTAGCCAGGGTATTAACATGATAAATAAAATATGAAAACATCTTAAATTATATATTCATATTTTAATGAATTTTACTTGTCTAAATTTCAATTAGATTTTTTTTTTTTGTGAAAATGGGGCAGAAATTGACAGAATTTTAAATTCTGTCAAATTATGCCTTTCCATAATAATTGTCATGAATCTCTTAATATTTTCTTTTTTTGTTTCACAGTGAGGTTTCTGGAAAACTCAAATGCCCTGTTGTCCCCGGGCCCCAGGCGAAGGAACTTCCAGTGAGCGCTGACTAAATGTATAGTGTAAAATATGTGTAACTCTTAATAAAGGATGTGTATATACAAGAAACATATTCATTGTACTATTTTTGTTTATTATGATTTTTATTTTTTTTATTTCATGTGTTCTTCACAGCTTTACTAGTACTTCCTGAGTAATTGATGACCATAAACAAGGAGGTTTTGGTTGTTTTTGTTTATCTTTTTTATTAAGTAAGTTTTCACAATGCAAACCTTGTGACAACCTACTAACAGTGATTGGAGAAGGATGTCTTTTAAATATAAAATACAATCTAAAGGGAAAATCAATCTTCAACTGCACATCTGTTAGGCTCTTCACCGATATGTGCTGTAATTATGAAATCAGCAGAAATTAAATGAAGTGGAATAAAATGACATTATATAAAGCACAACATTCAAATTGCCCCATTATAAATGTAACTGCTCTAGCATGCCCCGTTTATTAAATAATAATAACCTTGTCCTAAAAACACAGTGCCTTACTGTATTTAAATGTGATTTTATTATATTCATGTTAATTAAACATCTATAGCAAAAAATATTGGACAGTATTCACAGAAACATAAATAATATTTAAGTTTTGATCTAGGTGTTTGAAACTAACATACGACAACTGCTGGAGAAAAATCTTTTGTGTAATCAAACGTAATTGGAATGTATAATACATAATTATATATAGACAACACAATCAGACTAACACAAACGATTGTAACTTTCAATATCTTTTGAGGACTTATCCAAGTTTCTGAAGGCTTATATCAATGAATTCATGTTTCCGAATCAACTAAACGTTTAGTCAAAGAAGCTAGCTGTAGAAAGCTTCTAGAAGCAGATGTAAAGCCAGCTGCTTTTATGTGTGAACCCAATCTTTGTGAACACGAGATGGCAGTAACAGAGCTTAAATATGGCAGGGTAGGGTTGGTAGCATAGGTTGGTAGTGGTACACAGTGTAGGCTACTAATTTATACTATTTGACCCTTTATTAAAAATGGTCTGGATCTAATTATATTTCACATTTTTTATTTTTTTTGGAACTCTTGTAGAGGAAAAAAACAATAATCCCGAGGTCCAAATGCGGTTGAATGGTGGATTCGGCTCTCTGAGTCGTAATTGTCCCTCGGTTGTATCCGTAGAAAGTTCTCCTGGTTGCCGTAGTGACGTCATGGGTGAACGTTTTTGAATCGTAAACTCATGTGTGTAAAAATTGGGAAACATTAACAGCTCATGTTTTTGCAGTTTGGAGTGATATACGCCTGAAATAGCCATGAACGTCCAGCCTTCAAATCCCAATAACCCGATAGTGTTTTTCGACGTCACCATTGGAGGGCAAGTAAGTTTGAATTCACATTGTTGTCTTCATTAGCAGATCAGCTAACGTTAACTGACACTACATTACACTTTTAAACATGTGCGCTACCTACTTAAATAGAAACAAATAGCATTTGGGGCATCAGAGTAAGCTGTCAAGTTGGCCAAGATGCTACTCTCGCTTGATTTCTAAAAATGCTTATGGTCTCAACTTTACTGATTGATTATCAAGTGTCATTTCATCTCAAGCGGTCCAAATATTTAAACGTTGGTTGCCTGACCATTTCACTTTCTTCTTTTTTATAATCTTTTTTTCTTTTTTTAACTTGTTTGATTGGTTACCTCTAATTTGGGGTACTTTGGACGATTACAGAAACCTCAATATGACAGCTGAGGATGCTCCTAGTTTCTTGACACAAAAACTGATTTTTAGAGCACATTACATATTACATATATCCAGAGGTGGGCTGTCAGGGCCATCAGGGCCTTCTCTGCTGGCCCTGTCAAAATATAATATAATATAATATAATATATAATTAATATATAAAATATATAAAAAAAAAAAAAAAATTTACGATTATATTTCCTGAAAGAATATGGTTATTTTTGTTGAGGCTGAGCTGGATATATCGATATATGCAATCAAAATTATTGAACGTCCCTGAACGGCAAGACAGTCTGGTTTTGTGAAAAATGTTGTATGAAAACACTTCAACTGTGGCATCAGTAAACCATCATAGAATGTTTTTTAATACACATTTGAGTGATTCTTAGAACATGATCGAAGTTAAGTGAAAAAGAAACAAATCAAGTTGGCTCTAAAATTGGCCCCTAAAAGTAAAATTTTGTGGAGAATCCTTTATTCTTTATAACCTCAAATAAATGTTGCCTGGAAGTCCTTAAAAGCTTCTGACCCCTCTCTACTGGAATCTTAGGCAAAAAGCTTCCAGCTCACTGATATTCTTTGGTTTTCATGCTGGACTGCTTTCTTCAATTCTCACCAAAGTTTTTTAAGGCGGTTTAAATCTGGAGACTGATCAGGCCACACAAGAACATTCCAGGGCCGATCCCTGAAATATATTTTGGTACATTTGGATGTGTACTTGGGATCATTGTCCTGCTGGAATGTGTCTAAAGATCCAGTGAAGCTTCTGTTTATGCACTGAAGACATCATCTTTGCCAAAATGGCCTGGTACTTCAAATAATCTATGGCGTGCTGGTCACATGGTCAAGATGCAAGCAGCAGCAAAGCACCTTATAACATGACTGACGCACCTCCATGTTTGACCATAGGGACAGTGTTCTTTTCATCAAAAACCATAGGCCTACCTTTTTTTTGGTGCTAGATGTACTGCTGATCCATGGGTCCAAAAAGTTTCAGTTTGGTCTCATCAGTCATCACTCCATAAAATATTCTTCCAGAATTCCACAGGCCTATCCAAACCCCTTTTGGCATGTTCAAGTCAGCCTTTTGTGTTCTCTTGGTCAAGAGTGGTGTTTGAGGAGGTGTCCGCCGGGCATGAAGTCAATGCTTGTTTAGTGTTCTTGTAGTCTGCTAATGTATGTGCCATTGTTTTGTCTCAAGAGATGCACACCAGTAATTAGGGATGCACGATATATCGACCACATATCGATATCGGCCGATAAATGGTCATTTTTAATTTTATCGTTATTGATCTGATGAGAAAATTAGGCCGATATATTAGTCAAGTCACCTTCATATTTCGTATGAATAGCAATATAGATTGTTTCAAAGTTTTAGAAATAACCTTTGTGCACAGCCGGTGCCGGCCTTGTACTCTTCCAGGCTCATTTGGGTGGTACTGTTCTAGAACATTGTTGTAAATAAATCTTAACCACTGATTCCTAATACCGTCCACTTCCGGAAGGCCAAATAAAGCACTTATTTTGCTTTCGCGCATAGCGTCTCCACAACATGGCAGCAACAACACTACTACGATAACTAAAGCACGCCTTTGGCCACGCCTTTCTTTGCATATGCATGTAGGTCGGTGAAGGAGAATTCGATCGAGGCGTTTTAGCTTGGTCTGGTTCTGCCTTCTCTCTTAGATATAATAAATCTTTTTGTGGTAGACTTTGAGCTAGTATTCAAGTAAGAAACTAAATAAACAAATGTAAAAATAAATCCCTACATAGACTTCACTGTATAATTTACATTGATTCTTATTAAAGCTACAATATGTAATTTTTTTTCGCCGCTAGGGGTCGCTTACATTTTACAATAACAAAGGCGTAGGTTAATGACGTAAAATAAAATTCCAGCGGAATTATGGAACTTGTCGTCAAGCTGATGGTTTATGTTTTTAACATGACTGTAGGGCTGGGCAAAAAAATGGATTTTTCGATTAATTGTTTTTTTAAATGTGGTCGATTCAAAATCGATTCTCAACGGCACGAATCGATTTTTTCCATATTCAGGGCTCGCGTGCTGCGTCTTCTCACTCTGCACAAGGCAAGCGTCAAGCGCTGCAGGCGTCGATACACACTCGTGTTTAGGAGTCGGGACATGATTCACTTGCACAATCGGGCCAGCATTGCATCGTAACTAACGTTTTTCATTTTCACGTCTTTTTTCAAGCAATTTTAAACTATCCTGTGCTCGCGCACTCATGCATGTTTTTCATTGCGTGCAGCCTAAAGGCCAATTTATACTTCTGCGTCGAGTGTACGCCGTAATTTACGGCGTAGGCTACGCACGTAGGCGACGCCGTCATGAGCATTTATACTTCTGCGTTTAGGTCTGCGTTGCTCTGCAGTACAGCGCCGAAACGCTAGTTGGCGGCGGAGGGTTTTAATGTTCCACTGTGTTTAGATTCCTCGCGGCAAGAAGAAGAAGATTCCTCGCGGCTGTTTTGAGTTTAGGTTACTACAAGCAATGGCGACTGAAAGAGAGCAGATCATGTTGGAGTTGGAGCTTATCGAGGTGGAAAAGGTAAATTTTTAGTTTTTTTAACAGTTTCGCTGTACTTAGAATTTAAAAATGGCGGGCGGTGCAGAAGAACACGCCGGAAATGCATAGGAGGAAACGCGATGCTACCAAGCCGACCAATCACAGATCTTGCGGTCCGCGTCGTCGCGACGTGTAGTTAAATTTTTGAGGAGGTGCGCATCAGGTTACGGCGAAGGGTACGCCGTATGGTACGCGTCTGTGCGTATGCTACGCCGTACCTACTGCGCGCACCCGACGCAGAAGTATAAATTGGCCTTAAAGCCTTGTTTATACTCGACGCGTCCGCAAGAGCGCGAAGGTGCGCGCGGCAAAAATGACGTCATTGCGGTGTGGGCGGTCGTGCGCGGTCGTGCGCGTTGGGTGCGCAAGACCCCATTTCGCCTGGCGGTGTGCACGGCACTTTTTGTAACATCGCGCGCGGCGCCGCATCCGAAGATGAACGACTTCGAGCCGAACTGGTACGACTGTACCAGCATGTTTATGATCCTTCTATACACAGAGACATTTGCCTTGGTGGGCGACCATAAAAGCCTCTCATTTTGTGAATAGGAACACATTTGCATTAAGCACCCAGTTTGCACTTGTCTAAACTGCTTATATTTACAAAATAAGCATACAATAGCAGAAGTAAGCCCTGCTGATGAAGTTAAGGTTTAAACACTCTTCAATAAGGCTTCAGCTGTTTAACTAGTTTACATGCAGTGAAAGTACAATAAACCCACTGCATTTATTACTCTTTTTATATGAATCAGCAATTAATAAACTACCGGTACTAATAAACAGCAAACTACTTCTTCACTGCTGATTCCTGGTGTTTTAGAGGAGAATTACTCGGAGTCGCCCCCTGTCGTTTCACAGAATAGCACAACGGCGAGCGCGTCAAGTATAAACGCCTCGTCCGTTTGGAGAGGTGCGCGCGCAGTCAGCGGAGACTCGCGCTCGTGCGAACGCGTCGAGTATAGCCTAAACAAGGCTTAAATCCGCCTCACAACAAACAGCTCGTCAGTAACAAAAGTTCTTTTTCGTGGATTATATCGCTCTAACAGTTAAAAACCCGCAAAATGATGTCAAAACTCTGGTCTTGGTGAGTAACCTCGTAAAATAAGCATAAAACGCGTGTGACAGACAGTATAATGAAACTAGTAGTGCACTAGTTCTTAAAGTGAACGCAGCCATATGTGTCTGTCATTAATTTTGTTGTCAAAACAACATAATATAGCATTAATTGTAAGGAATCAGAATTAATAGCCTATGTATTTAATTCAGTCAGGACTAAAAGACTATCCAGTGTTATTTTACATTGGATTACTTTATTCAGTTTCTGTAGTATTTCTGACCTACCCAAAAACTTTTCTTTTTATGTCTCTTTATTTGTCTTTTTAGGCCTATTCTATTGTATTTATTTGTGCTACTTTTTTCAATTTAATTCAAAGATTGAAATCAAGCTTCCATGTGTTGCATAAACTCTTAACAAAAAAATTACCCCATTGTAAAAACAAACATTTAGGTGAGATCAATGTAATAAAAAATTGTCTAGAAAATGATAACTGATATTTAGACTGAGATTTGTATTACATCTATATTCATTATAGTCGAATCGAGAATCGAATCAGGAATCGAAATTCAAATCGAGAATCGAAATCGAATCGAGAATCGAAATCGAATCGAACTGTGAGCTTGTGAATCGAAATCGAATCGAATTTGAACATCTGAATCGATACCCAGCCCTACATGACTGTGGGATAAAGTAGGGCGCGTTTGCTAATGAGAGACAGATATCAGCGCCACACGCGAGTCATAAAGGAATAAGGACATTTCATTCTTCCAAACTACCCGCAAGTGCTGTATTAATACTCACACAGGTCAGTTTATTAGACGAATGAAACTTGTGAGGTAACGCAGCGCGGTTTCACTTGGTCTCACGTTACACTATCACACTAAACTGCATTTGAGTGTGGTGAAAGTTATAATATTATTCTATGTGTTAGTTTGTTGACTTTATGAGACTAGCAGTAAGCTAGATCAACATTAGAATGACATACAGATCATA